TCTCCCCACCCCTCAACTCTCTACTCCCCGCCCCAACCCCCACCCCAGCCAGGAGATGGGCTTGCTGCTCCGAACAGATGGTGATTTTCTAACTGAATGCTATTCTGGTGCATTTACTTAGGAAAAAGATCTAAAAATAGACTTGAATGAGCATAACCTGCAAAAATAAGTTGTCAGCTTCTTTTTACTCCTGCTGGGTTGAAAACAAAGCTGTCAGCAATTTCTGTGAGTTGAGGAATCTGCGTGCTTTCTTATTTTAGAGAAAGCTTTTTCAGTAGAACTGTAATTGTGTCTTCTTAAATGTCTCGGTGTCAACAAACTACCATCTGTTGTTCTAGGGACTCTCAAATTGATGAGATTGCCCCCTGCCCAAGGCTGGCTGGTGTTGCCCCTCTCGACCATCAGGGTGAGCCTGGACCAGCGCTGAGCTTGGGAGCGACTGCACTGGGGGCTCGGATCTGGTCGCAAGGTACTGGGGGCCGGCCTGGGCCCCGGGTGGCCAGATATGGGGCTTGGAGAGGGTGTAGGATGAAGTCCAGCCTGAGTGGGGTCTGACACCTGCTGGACCTGGGTAGCGCTGGCGGTGTCCAGAGCGCTGCGCTTTAATAGGTAGCTGGTACAGTCTGGCGTGGCAGAGCAGAGAGCTCGCCTTGTGCATGCAGGGTGTGGCCCCCAGCCAGCAGGGCCACGGCCCAAAGTATAGAGAGGAGTGGTGCCCACAGGCCTGGCGCTGTCCCAGCGTCTGCTGTCCCAGTGTCTGCTTGCCCAGCTGCCTCCCCAGCATCACATGGCTCTTTGCACTGCTTGCCCCGTATCCTCACAGCTCTCCAGTGGGATTTGGGGTCTGTGGCCTAGAAACTTCCTCCACTCAGTCTTCTCTGGACTTCAACCTAAACACGTTTCCTCAGAACAATGGAAACCACACCCATTCCCACCTCACACACCCTCACATGCAGGTATGCACCCGTGCACACACACCACACATACGTACACCACACACACCTCATGTGCCACACATCACACACCCCACATATACACATACACACCTCAAATACTGCACAGCACACACACCCCACACACCCCACATACACATATCACACACCACACATACATATATATACACTCTTCACATACCACACATATAGTTCACACCACACTTACACACCACACACCTCACATACACACACCACCACACACACCATGAATACACAGTTCACATACCACACGTCACACATCACATACCACACACTCATATACACACACCACACATACCACACACACACTTCACAGCTCACATACACACAGCATACATATATATCTCAAACTCACATACACACATCACACACACCCCACACACCTCACAGACACACATTACACACACAACACAAACACACATACTACACATACACATACACACACACCTTTCATATACCACATACCACATACCACATATACACATGTGCACACACCTTGCGTAATACATACACACATACCTCACATACACACACACCACAAACCACACAGACACACACCACACATACCACACACACATTTCATACTTCACATATGAGTTCGGACAATTAAGTTCTCAAACTCATCCTAGAAAAAGTGCCACATGCCCTTTGCTGCATATCACTATGGTCACCTTCGAAGTACTCCCCTTGGGAAGCTATGCACCAATGCCAGCACCTAGTCCACCCTTCAAAGCAATTTTGGAACTCTTTTTCTGGAATGGTCATCAGAGCTGTTGTTGTATTACCCCTGATGTCCTGACTGTCATCAAAATGTCTTCCTTTCAATATTTCTTTTATCTTCGGGTAAAGAATGAAGTCATTGGGGGCCAGATCAGGTGAGTAGAGAGGGTGTTCCAATACAGTTATTTGTTTACTGGCTAAGAACTCCCTCACAGACAGTGCCCTGTAAGCTGGTGCATTGCTGTGATGCAAGAGTCATGAATTGTTAGCGAAAAGTCTAACAATTTCATGTTAGAAATTGTCTAACTTTTTCATGCAGCCTTTTCAGCACTTCCAAATAGTAAACCTGGTTAACTGTTTGTCCAGTTGGTACAAATTCATAATGAATAATCCCTTTGATATCAAGAAAAGGTTGGCAACATCGTTGCAACAGGTTCGCGAACCTAATTGTCAGGCCTCATATGAACTATGTAATGTCAGGCCTTGTACACACATATATACACACACCACACACCTCACACTTCACAGATACACTACACACATACAACACGTACACACATCAAACATACATACATATACATTCCTCATATACTACAAACCACACACCTCACATACACATACACATACAACATACATCTCACAGACACACAGATACACATATAGACACACCTCACATACCACACACACACTACACTACACACACACACCATACACTTCATACCTCACATATACATACACACCTTACACACCATGCCACACACACCCCCCACACCACACATATACCACACACACCCAAAATACTACGCACACCCACAACACACAACACAACCCCACTTCCACTCACCCACACAATACCCACATCACATCTCACACACACATACCACATATATCACATATACCACACGAACACCACAAACATACACACGCCATACCCTCACATACCACACATATACCACACACACTCACACACACCATACCATGCCACTCCCCCACACAGCCACATACATACAACACACACACACAATGTGCTGAGAAGACTGACTTCTCCTGGGATAGAGACAGTGCCATATCTGAGCACAAGAAGGAAGACAAGGAAGACTTCCAGGAGCTAGAAGGCACGGAGAAGAGCAAGGTTGGGCCAGGTGAGTGTCAGAGGACTCAGTATGCCCAAGGCTCTAACAACCACCAGCTTGCCTCTAGGAAGCCATCAGAGTGGTCCAGACAGAGAGGCTGGAGACTCTTGGAAACTGTTCAGCCATCAGAAGTCTCATTAATCAGTGAATTAACTTAATTTAACTTGTGTGTTCCAAGGAAGGAGATTAGGTTCACCGCTAGGACTTTTCCCAAAGGCTGAGCTGGGATGCCAAGCCGTACGTATGTCCCCAGTTCCACCTTGTGCACACGCTTTTCTAAAAGGGAGAAGTCACTAGATCTTGCCAACAGAAGGCTGTGTGCCCTGTGCGCTTCCAGCTTCTGGAGGGTGACACTAAGAAAGACCATGGTGAACTCCTGCGTACATTTCTCATGCCTCATGACAATTTTTACAGCCCTCTCTTCTGACCAAGAATACATCAAAGCATCAAAGGTTTTTAAATATTTAGAAATACTTTGAAAGAATGCCATTGACAAGTCTAGGTCCCAAATGTGTCATGTTTAAAGGAAATGAAGTTTTAGAAATGATATAGTGTTTCAAAAACTAAATGGAACAGACCAACAAAGCTTCGATCATTTTTGAACCCTTAGAAGAATGGCTGTCTTGGCAGGCTTGCACTTGATCCTGTGTCCAGAGAGCTCTGCATCCCAGATCACCCTGTTGTGCCTCTGGCAATGTGTTTCCCAAGAGAAAGTGTCTGGCAGTGAAGACAGGAGGCATGGGAAAAGGGCGTCTCAGAGGAAGCCATCTCGCAGAGTCCCCTAAAATGTCATGAAGACCGGGTGATGACCCTGTGTTAGGAAGGGTCCAGGGACACGAGAGGGGTTGCTGACAATGGTGTTAGATATCAAAAGCCACACATTAAAAAAGGAAGTTCCTGTTTTTTGGCAAAGCAATTTAAGTTCCAGTAATTCATCCTGAGAAACTAATTAAGGATATTGATGTGCACACAGAATATTAATTTCTGAAACAAACAACACATTGTAGTACATGCATTCCATGCAACAACTGGAAATCATGTTGTAGAAATGTGTGTGTAATTCTCATAGAAAAATATTTACTATGTGCTATGCTGGAAAAGCAGGTTGTAACTCAGTAGCACAATATAATCCTACTTTCATGTTATTTTATATATATATATATATATATATATATATATATATATATATATATTCTAATTTTTCTATAATTATGTGTGTTTTCTATTGATGCTGTAACAAATTACCACAAATTTGGTGACTTTAAACAGCACACATTTATTATCTTANATACCTTTTCTAATTTTTCTATAATTATGTGTGTTTTCTATTGATGCTGTAACAAATTACCACAAATTTGGTGACTTTAAACAGCACACATTTATTATCTTATAGTTCTGTAGTTCAGATGGCTGACATGGGTCTCCTAGGTATCCACAAGGCTCCAGGAGAAAATTCCTTCATTGCCCTTCCAGCTGCTGGCCACCTGGGTTCCTGGCTCATATCCTCACTTCCATCTGCAAGTAGAAACAGCAGGCTGAATTCTCCTCCCATCCATCCCATCTCTTCTGTCCTCGCCCAGTGCTAGGACCTGTGACCATGTGAATACACTCAGGCTATCCAAAATATTCTCCATATTTTAAGGTTAGCTGATTAGCAACCTTAATTTCATTGTAACTTCCTTAATTTATCTGCTACCCTAATTCCACTTTATCATATAACCTAACCTGTCTAGACATTCTAGGGATTAGGACACAAGCATGTTTATGGGGAGGGCCAGTGTTCTGCTCACCACAACAAGAGTACATATACTTTATTGTGATGACCCAAGAAGAGCCTGGAAAACCAGGAAGCTCCAGGAACTTTGATTTGGTTTTAATTCTGGCTTTAAATATTCACTCTCATTACTGTAACCATAATTCCTATAGTTCTCAGCTTTGATTCTGAATTTACATTAATTAAATCCCATCATCATTCATTTCATATCACAGCTTTTCCATTTCTATGTTCTTGATTGATCAGGCAGTTTTATTTTATTTTTGTTTTCCTAAAAGGTTCTATAGTTCTTCAATCCTGGTACATTTGAAAATATGTATATTACCTTTGACTAGAGTGATGAATTAACTGGGTCCAAAATTCCTGGGCATACTCTTTACCCTCTCATATCACCTTGGAAACATTATGCTGTTAGTGGCATTAACTACTGCTGGTGAGATATATAACACCCCCCCCACACAACAACAACAGTTATGTCAACATTTCTTAACCAACTGAGCCACTCGGCTGGCCCAACATTTCTTTATTATAAACCCCTAAGAGTGCTGCACTGGAAGATGCATACAGTCGCACTCTTAGAAATCCCCTTTGTCTACACCTAGTCAGATTCCTACCTAGGTTTAGGAATTCAAATTGTGCACCCATTTAAGGGTGACACCAGACCTCCCCTCCTGAGAGTTACCTAGCCCTCAATTGGTTTCTGGGCTGCATCCTGTACTACACTCCCTTCCCAGCCTGAGGAGAGAAGGGCAGAGGAGTCATGAGAGTTTTAACCCAGACATGACTTTTCTGTGGTAAAAGGATCCCTTAGAGAACAAAAAGCTCATTTAAAGAGCTAATAGCTGAGACCTTTCAAAACCTGAGGAAA